CTAACATAAAACCATTTTCTGTTTTAGTTTTATCATAGGCCAGTGCATTAATTCCATCAATGCCCTTTTCTTTTGAATCATTTTTCTTTTTAAAACAATCTTTTGCAAAATGGCCAAACTTACCACAATAATAATATTTTTTACCTTTTGCATTATTTTTTGTCTTACTTTTGTCAACCCATCTTCTATTAGTTTTTGAAAACTTAAAATTTTGTGTAGGTTTTTCAAAAGATTTTCCTTTAATTAAGAAACTAGTTCCAATATGACTGTTACTTGACTCAGCCTTAATTTCTAAAGCTTTATTCCTTAAAGCATTGGTTATATCATCAACAGTGAGTTCTTTCCTACCATATTCAAGGGCAACTTTAATGTCCTTATACTTGTCACTTATGGAGTTTAACATAACTACAGCCAAATGATTTTTTGAAAGTTTTTCATCACAATTGGCCAAGTCTTGGGTAAGTTTTGTGAACCTACTAAGGTTCTCTTTTATGTCAACTGCAGGATCCATTTTAAAGGAGAAAAATTGTTTTAGAAGAAAACATTTGTTTGGAGTGGTTTTGGTCTCATACTTAGCCTTAAGTTTGGCCCAAAGATCAAAGGCAGTAGTAGTTTCACCTACCTCTCTGATCACATTATCAGACAAATACAGAAATATGGTATTCCAAGCAATTTCCTCAAGTTCAGATTTCTTATTAGGTGCTAAACCCTCAGGCCATGAATCATCTAATACCTTAGCACATTTCATTTGCATCAAAATGGCTTTCATTTTCTGGCTCCACATATCAAAATCAATTTTACCATCAAATTGACTCACTTCAAATTTTGCAGTAGCCATAATGCATGCAAGTTATTACAAACAGGATTTTAGCAAAAAATCAGAACAGTTGTAAACAGAAACCCTAAATTGCCAACTTTGAAATCACAATAAATCACAAAATAATACAGGATTTCAGCAATCAAAAAATATCAACAGAGAGAGCAAGCTTAATCAATCAACAGAAAACCAATTAATAAGATCAGATTATAAGATTTCACAGATCTCTCCAGCTAGATTCTCCCAAGTTACACACCCGTACTTGATTTATCTCAATTGCACTATAATAGCCAAAAATGGCAACGAAGGGTTACAAGAGTTCAACAAATACACTGAGATGAAATAAAGATACTTATCTCTCAAGATCGACTCAAAACCTTCGAAGAATCACGAAGAAACTTCACTGCATCCCTCTCAAAACATCACAACAGAAGAGGACACAAACCATTACAGATAATTACTCAGAATATCTAAATGAAATCACTAAGACTTTCACATTTAAGACCTCAAATCGGAGATTTGAGCTACAAAATCGAGCAGAACAAACCCTAACCAAACGAGAGGTTTTTTTCTCTCTCTCTCAAAAAACCAAGAGTTAAACGCATAATTGAGTAATCAAAGTGTCAAGTGAAACAGCACGTTATAATGGAAGGTTCCAGACTCAATCCAATAGCCATGGTTCAGCCACGTGTCGCCATCCAGTTAAAAGTGCCAATTTAATAGAGTTGCATTTCCACAAAACACGACTTCACAGTATAATAAAATTCTGGAAGCAAAATACCATGGTTCGAATCTCACACGTAGATTATAGAAGCTTAGCTCTTGTGAAATTTTATTTATTTTGCAATGGACACTGATTCCTATCATAATTAGGATTATCGATGAATTGGAAGTCCCAACATACTCTTAGTACTAAGTTTTTTGAGGAATCCTAGTATGTGCAGTTCAGCTTCCTCAAAACTTGTTCCATCAAAAGAATATGTGTTTCCTTAGGGAGTGTACACAATTTTCCTTGGCAGAGGACACACCAAAATATGAATTCTTGTGCAAGTATAATCATGTGTAGCCTTCATAAATTTTGACCTTATATTGCAAGCCAGCTGCAGAACCCATACACAGACAATCTATTTGCCACTATGTTTTCTCCTCACGTGGGAATTGACGATTCAATAGGTTTTAGGCATTGAGAAACATACTGCTTCCATTTATTCAAATAATATAAGTTTTTTTTATGTCCTCCATCATACACATTAGTGTTGATAATGCTTAGGCATGGCAGATCAGGTTTCACTTACTTAGATAGCATGTGGTGTAAAATGGATAATTGGACTTACAAATGGGTATAAATTGCATTTATTGATTCTAGAAGGCAAGCTTTCAAAACAATTATTACTTGCTTTGTGTTCTTGACGTGTTAGAATACAAGCTTAATTGTTTATTCTTATATTTGCTTCTTGAATGCAGAATCCAGAGTCGGGAAACCAGTGCTGAATTGGGCTAGGCGACACAAGATTGCTTTGGGAATAGCCAAAGGACTAGCTCATCTTCATGGTCTTGAGACACCAATAACTCATGGGAATGTTAGATAAAAAAATGTTCTAGTAGACGATTTCTTTGTGGCCAGGCTCAACGAGTTTGGACTTGACAAGATAATGATTCCATCTGTAGCTGATGAAATAGTTGCACAAGCTAAAACCCATGGATACAAGGCTCCGGAACTTCAGAAGATGAAAAAATGCAATTCCCAAACAGATGTTTATGCGTACGGAATACTTCTACTCGAGATTCTACTAGGAAAAAGGCCAGGTAAGAATGGAGTAAATGGAGAGTTTGTTGATTTTCCTTCACTAGTGAAAGTGACAGTTCTGGAGGAAACAACAATGGAAGTGTTCGACATGGAGCTGTTGAAGGCAACGAAGAATCCTATGGAAGAAGGGCTTGTTCAAGCGTTAAAACTTGCAATGGGATGTTGTGCTCCGGTGGCTTCTGTTCGGCCTACAATGGACGAGGTTACAAGGCAGTTGGAAGAGAATCGGCCAAGGAATAGGTCTGCTGTTGGGTTCGAACCCTGGACCTTTGGTCATATTGCTTCCACAGTTTTTTTTTAAAAGCAAAAACGTGTTTCAATAAGTTTGACACTTCTTCCCTTTTTTAAATAACAACATTATACTGGATCATGACACGTGTGATGATGGTGGCCGTTGGATCAGGCTTCTGGATGCTTCTGATATTATTTACTCTGATTGGACTCATTTCTTCAGCTGAATCGTCACTTTTTTCTTCAAGGGTTTCTCTCTGCCGTTTTTTGAGTTTATACGCTCCTTCTTGAAAACTCTTCTAGTTTTCTCCTCTGTGATATGATTCCTTGAGAGATAATAGTGAGGAAATACAGTAATCTCACTGTAATACTACTGATTGTATGAATGCTTAACTTTTCTGAGTGATTAGTATCAAGAATCTGAGTGATTCTTGAGTTCGGTAGTGGTTTGTAATAGATCTGAGTGAGCTGAGTGATTCCTGTGAGAAGAATAGTCCAATCACCTTCGTGTAGAAATATAAGTCTCTGTGACTATCTTGTGATCTGTATTTCTGTATTTTGACTTCCATATTTTGAGCTTTTAGTGCAACCGAGCTAGATCCGTTTTATAATGGATGCTCAACAGGGGATTAGGCTTTAAGCTGAACCTCTGGGGTTTCGGCCGAAAAATCCTTGTGTTTTCACTTTACTTTCTGCATTTAAATTTCTGTTTTGAATGGTTGTGTAAATTTTGGTTTAATCGTGAATGACTTCTTTGATTAACATCTGCTTTATACAGCCCCGCTGAAACTCGAAGTGGAAGTGGCACTCCTTTCTGAGTCATTCTTTTTTATTCAACTGTAAATTACACTACAATTCATTGCTAGATCTAATGAAAGACGCATGCAAGTAGATGATAATTTGTTCCTATGCTTTCTTAGCATTTTTTCCCCTGTTTTCGAGGAAGGTTGTATTCTGTAATTTATAGATAATGCCCCAAAAATTTGCTCTGCATCGAATGTGCGGAAAATTATTATAATTTCCTCATTCACACTAAACATAATTTGTCTGCGTTATGACTTTAGATTTTAATAACTAAGGTAACAAAGATGTGTTCAAAGGGAGCTTGTTTTCAACAATCTCACCTGAAGACCAATTGGGGTCAGTGAAGGCTTGCTAAACTTTTTATGGTAACACAAAGCATGGACATAAGAGCAGCAATATTACTCCACAACAATGTCTAAAAATTTGAATTTAAACTCATATAGTGGAATGATCAACTACATGTTCGCGTCTAATATATGGAAAAGTCTCGCCTGAGAGGATCTTTGCCTAGAAATGCCTCTAGTCCCAATCTTGAGAGGACAAGAAGCTGAAGACATTCACCTTGGATCCACTTCACATAACATGATGCATTTCTAAAGACTAAAGCACAAGAAAAAGAGAAGATATTAGGGGAATTCCAAGATTATGATGCAATTTCTCTTATGGGGACATGATCCACAAAGGCAAATTTCTCAATAAATTAAAAATCATTGCTATCAATGAGTATATGGTGAAGTGTGCAATGTACCTCCGGAGGATTGTCAGGCCAACTGCATTACCAGTGGGTGGTTTTGTCGTACAGTTTAAACCCATCATTATCCTAGACTTGCGTGATAATCGAATTCGATTACTATGATCATAATTTATCAGATAAAATTTAAATCTGGTTTATGAAATATTTGAAATGGAGGATTAAGGGCAGTAGTGCAAATATTATTTTTTTAAACTATATTTTTGACTTAGGCTGAAATTTTAATTATTATAAATCAAATTCTAAAAATTCATAGAAAATTTCGAAACTTCCAAAAAAATTCTGGGACGTTACTCTTTTATTCAACTTGCACGTGGAGATTGGATTTCACCACATAATAGATTAACCTTTGGGGATGGAACTTCACTCTTCTATAATTTGTTATCACGTCCTTTTTCTCATTATAGTGAAACCTATCGCGGCAAGTGAAAGTTGCTCTTGAACAAGTATGAACCACTCTGTAACTAAGAAAAATTACTAGGAATGATCAATTCAAAATCTAAATTCTAACGACAACAATAACGAATTCTTTATTGATGAAAAGACAAATATTAAATGCAAACCTAAAAAGAAACGAGAAAACATATGGCTTAGGAACAAAAAAGGTTCTGCCATTGTTAAGTGCAATGGAAATCTAACAAAAAATCCTTGTTTGTCTATAAATGAAGAGACAAATCAAGATTCTTCTGATCATTTGCTCTCTCCTCAGCACCCCTAATACTTTGATTAATAGTCTGTTTTGATAATTCTTCACTAAATCCATTGCATCTTACACTCCTTTGCCAATTCTTGAAGCTCTGATCATCTGATTCACTTTGATACACATTATTCAAATAGTTACTGCGATTTATTACGTCATTTTGGATTCGCGAGGCAGCCCCAGATGATCCAAACTGTTCGTTCTGGAATTGGCAAAGAGTGGCACCATGAGCAGTAATATAGGCAGAAGGGCTCAAAATTCCAATGGGATAGTTTGGAGAAAATAGTAATGGTGGTGACACAGAGAGTGAAGGAAAATTGTATTCAGAAGCCCTTTTGTTCTTTCTCGCTGCATTTCTCTCTTTCTTGTGAGCATTTTGATGGCCTCCTAAAGCTTGTGAACTGTGGAATTTTCTTGAGCAGTATAAGCAAGGAAATGATTTTGTTTCATCTTCTGCATTTTTTGGTGAACCATGGATTATATTCTCACCCTCCATTCCTGCATCAGAAGAAAAATAATTGCATTGGAAAAACTTGTTATGAGAAGATGATTAGTAATACCATACATGTTTGGCTATGCTTAAAAGTAGCTTTTTGATCACGCGTCTCCACGAGCTTGTCAAAAAAAGAACCTAAAAATCAAAGAGTTGATATGTACAAATTCTTGAAAAGTAACTTTTTCTTATATTAGTTTTCACACAAACATACACAAACACAAATATATTTACCATGGCGTGGAAAAGATGAACAGACCTGTAGAAATGTTAGCAAGAAGGTACAAATAAGCTGGGTATGAAGTTGGGTTTTTGATCTGATAAAAATAGAGTTATGAAAAGGAGTTCAGAAACTGAGTTGGGAAATGTGAAAAGATGTTTGTGTGTTTGAATTTATAAGAAAAAAGTGCATGTGCATTGGCATTGGCATAAGAAGGGTGAGGACGTGTATGGGCTTGGGAACACGGGGGATAAGAGAAAGATAAGTGTGCAAGGATCCATCCTCCAATACAATACATTTCTGCATGCTGAGGCAGAGAGAGTGACTGGTGAAAAGAGAGAGAATGTCATGGATTGGGAAATGGAATCCCCACAACCCTACTCTCTTTCATATACATACACATACATGTACGTAGTTACATCTTTACCTCTCTGCTTCTGACTGTTGATCAGGTTTAAAGGAATCTTGGATTTTTCTTTTGCAGGCATTTCTTTAATTCTTAGTTCCAGTCCCTCGTACTTATCTTCATGGTGAGTTTTGCTTGAAACTGTTAATACTTTATGTCTAAGTGCAGCATACCAAACATGTCCGACTTGTATACTCCTATGATCCCAACCGGACTGAGTGTTCAAAAAGCCGAAAGTCCGATTCCACAGTTCAGTCCAGCATACCAAATGGACATGTCAAGAATATCTGTAGTCGTAAACTCCAACAGCCCATATCGAGGAATTGAGTGATTAAAAAGCCTAGAGTCCAGTCCCCACACGTTCAGACAGGTAATTGCATTTGTATTCCAGCTACGTTTATCTCTACTGCAAATAGCCTGCAACACCCCACCCCCCAAAGCTCTCTCAGATGTACAATAAATGGTTATGGGGACAGCCACTATTCGCCCCATATTCATCTGACTCTCCACCGCCAACTTCACTTATCTTTGTCATTTTTTCATCTATTCGTTGCATGCCCTGGGATATATACACAAATAAACACTGGCCCATTTTCCCAAAGCAAGACCAGCATTTTTTTTCCTTATATCAGGAGTATAGTTAAGCACTGCATTGTCAGTTCTCCATAAAACCAACCTGCCATTTTCTACATCCAATAACACAGGCATTAAAGAACCAAGTTATGAATTCAAATGGGAACCATTCAAGAAGAGTAGATCTTAAGAGAGTATCAATCTTAGCAAAAGCATTAAAACAGAACAGCAGATCGGTATTGAAAGCAGCTTCATATACATGGTAAAAAAAGCATGGTCCTGGCATGTCAACCCACAAGCTGGAATGGGCGATGCCAGGCCTCATGCTTTTCGACACCTGGCCAGCCCAGATGGCAGGGAAGTGCAGGCCAAACCAGGGCATCCTAGGCCAGTCTTAGTATGTCAAGAATGGCCTGAAAAACTGATGTAGGATGAATAAGAAAGAAAGAAGAAGGAACGGGGAGGAGAAACAGAGAGAAGGGAGAAGAGGAGAAGAAACCAGAGGAAGAGAGGGGAGGGAGAAAACGGCTGCAAGCCACCAAAAAATATTTCAATTCTAATTCATCATCAACTGTCTCAAATAAGAAACAAAACAAAAATAAATAGCAGAACACAAACCCTAAAGAGAAGGGTTTGGGCCAAACCCACTAAACAAACCCAATAACGAAAACATAAATAATAGTCCAAATAAAATATAACTAATAGTCCAAATAGAAAATAAATAATAAATGGATGTCCGCATCAACTCTCCCGGGGTGGGAGAAAAACTCGACCCCGTCGAGTGGATAAATCAAAATGTTGCAATGAATATGATGCTAAAGGTTCCAAGTCATGCCATGGGAGACGATCTTTCTGACGAACCAAATATCGAAATTTCACAAATGGTGACAATGCCAATTGCAAATTACCCGCAAAAACATGAACTGACCAAGATAACTTAGGCGAGTGAGAATTTTGCTGACACTTATAAAGCTCCAATAAATTTGGCTCACACTGCTGAAGTCTTTCTTTGGGAATCCATGTACCGTCAGAATCAAGTCGATCCATCCAACGAACAAGAAAGTACTGAATCTCTCTATTATTGGTCAACACAAGCTGTTCATCCAAAATAACATCAATTTTATTTTTGTGTGCTGTGATATGTGGGATTGAAGCAGACATAGCAAAAGAGTCAGTGTGGGAATTCTCATGTGGGAATAGAAACGGGTCATCAGAAGGGCTAAAATAGCCGTTGTAAGCATCGAAGTCCGTAACAAATAAAATAGGGTGGTGGTCATAATGTGATAAAAGGTCATTAACATAGGCATTTTGACCAACATGCTTTGAAATTTTAAAAAGACCAGCATTACACGCTTGTAATATAACATAATCCCCAATATTAAATTCAAAGTATTGTTTATGCCAAACAACTTGAGGTTTATAAAATGCTTTACTTGCTTCAAATTGTTTATTGATCTCAATATGTAAGCTATGAAAATGTGATACAACTACCTCAACTGACATAGACACACAAGCATGTGGGTGCACGAGAATAAGATCTAGAGGTTTCAAAGGTTCACAACCAAGAATAATTTCAAAGGGTTTTAGACCTAAAGACCAGTTTACTGGATCGTTATATGCAATTTGAACAATTGGAGGGATCAAGTCCCAATTCCTAATATTTTTCTGGACTAGAGACTGTAATAAATTGTCAGGATTTTGGTTAGCACTTTTGTTTTGACCATCAATTTGAGGTTGGTCAGTGGTGGATAATTTTGCCTTAGTGTTAACCACAGGTGACTGGATTTTTCAAGGGTGACTGGTGACATCATCAAGCTCTTTAACTTGGGTATGGGTATGACATATAACATGTGATCGAGAATTGTCGGACATAAGGGATATAGTATCCAAAGTCTCGAGAAGAGTCTGGATTCCACCTAAGGAAGTGTCCTCACTATTATCCAAGTCATCAAAATCTTCAAGTTTAGGTTCATAGACTAGATCTTCTAACGGCTCCTCTATTACATTCTTTCGTTCTTTCATGACTAGGGTTCGATTAGGACATTTAGAAGAAATGTGACCAAAGTCTTTACAGTTGACGCACAACAAGTGAGAAGAAGACCTTGGAGTTTCAGAAATTCTACCCTGATTTTTCAAAATTGGAAAACCATTAGAAGGGGGAGGTCCTATAAGGGACTTAACGGGAGGAGGTGGAGCCAATGAAGCCAAATGATGATTATAAAAAATATTACCCTTATTTTTCAAAATTGGAGGAATATCAGACGGGAGAGGTCCTAGAAGGGACTTAACGGGAGGAATTGGAGCCAATGACACCGAAGAATGATTGTCCATATGCTTTCTACATGGAAAAGAAGATCTTGGACTATCACAACCTTTACAATTATTTTTCCAAATAGGAGGAACATTAGACGGAGACGGTTTTATGATAGACTTATGATGAGACGACGCTAATGAGATGGGTGAGCGACGATGACCACGCTTTTCATATGGAGTACTAATAATCAACTCATAATCTCGAGCTAAAGAGTAAGCGTGATCAAGAGTAGTGACACCTCGAAGGAAAAGCTCGCGCTTAAGATTGAGGGGTTCATGTTTAAGGTACTAGAGCTAGAAGTGACAAGATGACCAATATGTAACTACATGCACTGTAATAGCAACTTATGACATGCAATAGAGAGATCAACGAACAAAAAGTGCGAGTAATGGAAAATGAAAATTTGAGCTAATTTTTTTTTTTTTTAAATTTAAATTTTGGGACTAAAATTATAAACAAGCTAGTACTGCTGGTATATGTAAAATAATAAAGCAATGGTCAAATACTAGTCAAAACCTAATCACGTAAAATAAGCAGGTTAAAGTGAGATTTAACGAGGTCAATGGATCCAATTACGTGAG